CTCTCTCTCTCTCTCTCTCTCTCTCTCTCTCTCTCTCTCTCTCTCTCTCTCTCTCTCTCTCTCTCTCTCTCTCTCTCTCTCTCTCTCTCTCTCTCTCTCTCTCTCTCTCTCTCTCTCTCTCTCTCTCTCTCTCTCTCTCTCTCTCTCTCTCCCCCTCTGAGCACATGTTTTGCATGTACATGTCAATGTATAAATAATTCATTAAGTGCCAAACCAAAACCCAGCCTTAATTAATAATAATAGCTAATAGATAATAATTACCTAAAGCACATGTGAGTTTATAGTGCCAGGAGAAAAATAACCAATACAAGCGACCAGAGCTAAAAATAATTTTTCAACTTGATTGGTCAATGTGTCCAGACATAATCCAATTTGTCTGGACATTGTGCAATTTTGATCGGACATCACATTTGCGTAAACATTTTATCTAAATCGTCAATAATTAATGTCACATTATTTTTTTACAGTTTTTGTGTCACTTTGACTTATTATTATATATCATCTAGCCAAGCGTTCCTTTTCTGCAGTAGTTCTATATGAAATATCTCTTTTTTGGTAGTTAAATCCTTTTGATTAGTAGCTAAGCTACTAAACTGCTTATAGTTCAAAGTGAGGTCTAGACAGTTAAAATAACAGGAGTGGCTTAAGTTGCCCAAAATAACACGTGGTTTATATGTTTGCGCATGCCTGAATTGCAAAATATCAAAGTAGAAGAGCAGACCAGCCAAAACCAGAGCAAACAAGACTATTTTTTGTAATAAGAGAGCCAGGTCTTGCAGAAGGAAAGAGTTTGCAGTTTACACAAGTAAGAGTATGCAAAAAGTTTTTCAAGGAAGCCTCCCACTTTGTCTGGACACATTGACCGGATGAACCACCAGTTGTGTCACCATAAAGCAGCATTTGCACGGAAATTGTCCGTTGTCCGGACGTTATTTTTTAGCAGTATGTAGTGGTAAGCCCAGTTGTTAGATAATAATCATAGGCCCTGTATATCTAGTGTCAGCACACATGTAACTGTACAAGCCATATTGGTAACAACAGCTTTTTAAGGCAGGCAGGGAGGTGAGAGTTTGGCCATTAAAAACGTTTTAACCCGCCCCAGTTCCAGTTCTCAAGACTGGACTGCCTAGCCTGCTGTTCACCATGGCTTTCATGCTAACACTGTAACTGTAAAAGCTTTATTATGTTGCTGCATGTAGTTAAGTATTAGCTGTTCTGAGGCGTGAGAATAAGGACGGAGGGTGTGTGTGATGCAGGGAAAGTAGCCAGCAAAGAAGTCTAGGCGGGTAGACAGACTAGGAGCATCAACTGACTGTGGCCAACACTCTGACGTCTGACTATCGACAAGAGTTGGGCATAGTGTCCTCTTTTAAACTAAATGTCATATTTAATCTCTCACTCTCTCTCCCAATAAAAAATTTTTAAGTTATGGCCATTTTAAGAAATTTGCAAATTTTTTAAAAATACCCAAGGATATACCATATACCGGTTTATTTTCGTAGTAAAATATTTTCGCAAATTTTGCAGTTTTTGATCAGGCATGAAAATTTTTCACCGCAAAATTCTGTTGTCCATTGCAATGTGGTGTGCTACTATCTATTTAAATGTCATGGTCTAATGCAGTAGCTTAATTTTCAATTTTTCATTGATTTGGGTGTGGTTGCAACTTGCAATGAAACAAAAATGGCGTTTGTGAAGGCTATAAAACGGGAGCAAGTCTTGAGCTTACTTGCAGCCAGAAAAGACTGATCCAGACCCTTCTCCAGCAGCAAGAAACTTAAGAAAGCAGAGATAAAATATTTCTCGTGGTCCCTTGTTATTGTTTAATGACTATAAAAGTTTGAATACAACTTGACTACATGCAGTGACCCACTGACTGCTAGCCTTGTGATAATAGTCTCTCTCTATTGTGATAATGCTCTACAGAATCATGCATGAGTCTTACTTGGTATAGCACCAACAAAAGCAACACTATTAACATTATTCTTCTCACATAATAGCGGTCACTGATGATTTACTGTTCATTGTATCATAAATAATAAATGCTTTGAGATAAACAAATGCATATCGGGCTCGCCCCAGTTAAATGTTCTACATTCGTCTAGTACATATTGATGTCTTTATGCTGTGTAGAAACTTTAAGATTAAGCTGTTTCTGACAAAATAGTTTGTGCACTATACCACCTCTGTGTGTGTGTGTGTGATCTTTTGATTTATGATTGATTAGTTTTAAATTAATGGTTCATTAATGTGTAGTAATGGTAGTCCTTATTAGGAAGTAAGATATGTACGTAATTAATTATATAGTAACTACCCACACACGCATAGAAGCACACACACACACACACACACACACACATACACAGAATTGTCTCTATTCTAAGGTCAAGACATGTCTCCTTCAAGTGTTACCATCACTCATGCAGTGTATCATTTGTATACAAATTAGTTTTATTAACCACAAGATACACATGTACATGTACATAACAGGAGTGGCTTAAGTTGCCCAAAATAACATGTGGTTTATATGTTTGCGCATGCCTGAATTGCAAAATATCAAAGTAGAAGAGCAGACCAGCCAAAACCAGAGCAAACAAGACTATTTTTTGTAATAAGAGAGCCAGGTCTTGCAGAAGGAAAGAGTTTGCAGTTTACACAAGTATGCAAAAAGTTTTTCAAGGAAGCCTCCCACTTTGTCTGGACACATTGACCGGATGAACCACCAGTTGTGTCACCATAAAGCAGCATTTGCATGGAAATTGTCCGTTGTCTGAACGTTATTTTTAGCAGTATGTAGTGGTAAGCCCAGTTGTTAGATAATAATCATAAGCCCTGTATATCTAGTGTCAGCACACATGTAACTGTACAAGCCACATTGGTAACAACAGCTTTTTAAGGCAGGCAGGGAGGTGAGAGTTTGGCCATTAAAAACGTTTTAACCCGCCCCAGTTCCAGTTCTCAAGACTGAACTGCCTAGCCTGCTGTTTACCATGGCTTTCATGCTAACACAGTAACTGTAAAGGCCACCATACACCATGAAACTTGTTTCATGAAACTTTGTTTCATGAAACAAGTTTCATGGTGTATGGTGGCCTTAAAAGCTTTATTATGTTGCTGCATGTAGTTAAGTATTAGCTGTTCTGAGTCGTGAGAATAAGGACAGAGGGTGTATGTGATGCAGGGGCGGATCTAGGATTGGATTCTTGGGTGGGCCTTAATAATTTGGGTGTGGTAATTAGTGGGTGTGGCCAACAAGGCCAGCATTCAGAGTCAAAATTTTGAAGATTAAAGCCGTTAAAATGAGCTCCTTTGTGGTTTAAAAATTGTTTGCATAGTCATGCTTCACAGTTTACATAGTCATCCACATGAAAAAGTTGATTTTAAATTACTGCACAAAATTTTTGGGTGGGCCTGGCCCACCCTGGCCCACCCCTAGATCCCCCCTGGTGTGATGCAGGGAAAGTAGCCAAGAAAGAAGTCTAGGCGGGTAGACAGACTAGGAGCATCAACTGACTGTGGCCAACACTCTGACATCTGACTATTGACAAGAGTTGGGCATAGTGTCCTCTTTTAAACTAAATGTCATATTATTTAATCTCTCACTCTCTCCCGATAAGAATTTTTCAAGTTATGGCCATTTTAAGAAATTTGCAAATTTTTGAAAAATACCCAAGGATATGGGTATACCGTATACCGGTTTATTTTCGTAGTAAAATATTTTTGCAAATTTTGCAGTTTTTGATCAGTCATGAAAATTTTTCACCGCAAAATTCTGCTGTCCATTGCAATGTGGTGTGCTACTATCTATTTAAATGTCATGGTCTAATGCAGTAGCTTAATTTTCAATTTTTCATTGATTTTGGGTGTGGTTGCAACTTGCAATGAAACAAAAATGGCGTTTGTGAAGGCTATAAAACGGGAGCAAGTCTTGAGCTTACTTGCAGCAAGAAAAGACTGATCTGTTGTCCAGACACTTCTCCAGCAGCAAGAAACTTAAGAAAGCAGAGATAAAATATTTCTCATGGTCCCTTGTTATTGTTCAATGACAATAAAAGTTTGAATACAACTTGACTACATGCAGTGACCCACTGACTGCTAGCCTTGTGATAATAGTCTCTCTCTATTGTGATAATGCTCTACAGAATCATGCATGAGTCTCACTTGGTATAGCACCAACAACAGCAACACTATTAACATTATTCTTCTCACATAATAGCGGTCACTGATGATTTACTGTTCATTGTATCATAAATAATAAATGCTTTGAGATAAACAAATGCATATTGGGCTCGCCCCAGTTAAATGTTCTACATTTGTCTAATATATATTGATGTCTTTATGCTGTGTAGAAAAATTAAGCTGTTTCTGACAAAATAGTTTGTGTTATGAGCACTATATCACCTCTGTGTGTGTGTGATCTATTGATTTATGATTGAGTAGTTTTAAATTAATGGTTCATTAATGTGTAGTAATGGTAGTCCTTATTAGGAAGTAAGATATGTACGTAATTAATTATATAGTAACTACCCACACACACACACACACGCACAGAAACACACACACAAAGGTCAAGACATGTCTCCTTCAAGTGTTACCATCACTCATGCAGTGTATCATTTGTATGCAAACTAGTTTTATTAACCACAAGATACACATGTACATGTACATAGTCTATACTAATGAAACAGCACTAATAAGGATTTTCTATTATGTCTATTATGGAATGTTGTAGAGAATATTTTACTATAATGATTAATGACATTATCTTAAATTGGATGGATGGATCATGCTTCTTAAAACAGTATAAGTTCAAATTTTAAATTGCTCCTAACTCAAAATGTGCTTGAAAGTCGTTCAAACTTTTTACTCAGCACAATTAGCAATAAATGTAATAACCTTATTAACCTACATGTATCAGGAAATAGTTATTAAGTATAGTGAGTGATTTCTCTTTCCCTCTCTCTCTCTCTCTCTCTCTAGCTTCAACATGTTGCTTCAAAAAAGTTTGTCAAAGTTTGCTCTGAAGCTTCAAAGACACAGAGCAACAACTTGCTTGTAATGATAATAATTCTATGTAAATGTGTAACTAACTCTAATTTAACATGTACATATATAGGTCAGTTTGTCAGAAGAAAATTTTGAAGAATGCATTTTTAAGATATTACCACGTTACAAAGTTCGTTCAGAAGGAGATGAAGTAAGTACAATGTACATGTACATTTAGCATGTACATGTACATGTACTGGTTTTATTCATTTATTTAGTGAAAACTCATTACAATACTATACTTATAGGTTAGATATAATGATCAGTTGAAGATTGAAAATATTAAGAATCAGGGACAGTACCTGCACTGTAGTGGACCGAATCACACACTGGAAACTGCAAGATTCAATGTCCTTACAGACTGGTATGTGTATAGGATTTATCATATTTAAAATTGTACTAATTCTTTTAATATGTTCTCCTTTTATAGTTTTGAGTTAAACTTGTCAGCAACAGAATCAGCTTTAACTCTCATTCCTCATTACTCTCCTTCTGTAAACAAGCATCCTGACAAGGCACTCAGAGTAAGGCTTCTATTTTCTATTATCAAGTTATTATGTTAATTGCTTACATTAAGTAATGTACTGTATATAATTTTTGTCATATCCTAGTAGTCTTTTTCATTTACCTGTATTATGGCCATTGTAGTAAATATTGTGACAACAGGAGAAAATAAATACATGTAGGTTTTGAAAAATTGAGAAAGATAGCCATAATGACAAATGATGATGTCATTTGAAAAACTGTCAGTCAATAATGAATTTCCTATCTTAAAACCTACAAATTTACTCTTGATAATTTTATTTACTTGTTACTTTTGTTTGTGTACTTTTATGTATTTATTACATAGGCTGGTACTTGTGTGAGGTTATTTCATAGTGTGGACGAATGTTACATTGTTGCTGAAGGCTCATTTGCTTTTGCTAAAGAATCATTTGCTTCCCTTAAAGGAACAATAGTTAACGAAAGGAGTGATCCTATCATTGAAGATGGTATGTCAAAGCATTGTAGTAACTCTATAATCATTATTTTTTTCAGTTGCATGTCAATTGTTTTTTTAGTTAAATTTATTACTGTTTTATTTAGTACTTGTATATAAATAACTCTCTTAATTGTGCTTAGTCCATTGCCGAGTGAGAAGAGTTGACTCAAGGAAACATAATGCACCTTCCACCTCCTCTAACACTTACTGGCAGATTGAAAAACAGGAAGACCCCAGAAGTGGTGGGTTTAAACTACATGTATGTGCATGTACACTTAGAATTTTGATTTCCTTATTATTATATTCACAAAATAATGTACATATACATGTACATCCCATTTCCTCATTACTAAATGTATTATATTGTATAGGTGATGTTATTGCTTGGATGGACAGGTGTAGGCTCAAGCATCTTCCCACTAGATGTTATTTAGCAGTCGTGGAGGATATGGGTCAATGGAAAGTATGTGACATCAAGAGTGGACATTGATGTATTAAAATCATTTTTATCATAAATATAGGTCACTCTTAAAGAAAAGACAAGTGATAATGATTTGGACACAATTTTTAGCTTCTCTCCTCTTATAGAGGTACATACATGTACATCATGTACAGAGATACATGCATACTAATGATTAATTACATGTACATGTACATGTATGTACATGTATTGTGAACTCTGCTATTTTTTTGTGTGCTGTAGGAAGGTGAGGAGGTACTGTTAGAATCTTATGCTCTCATTCAACATCGTCGCAGTGGACAATGGCTTCATTTAGAAAAGAAAAGTAATAAAGACTCCATATGCTCACTACTGGTGTCTTAAATATATGCAATGTAGATTCTTACACAAGGAAAGGCTTTGATCCTAAAGCTGAAGGTTTGGCTGGTCTAGAGTGGGACTCTGCTGAATTATTAATGGTAAAGACCTTTATATGCACATACATCATCATTCTATTAATTCTAGCTCACTACACGCAAAGATAGAGGAGACTATGACTCTTTCACATTACAAGAGGTACTGTTCAATGTATACCCTTAGCTATAAGTACTATGGTAACAGCAAGCATACATATGCATGTACTATTACTACAGTATTTGTGTGGCTTGTGGTTTTTGGACTCGCCGCATAGGCAAGTATTAAGTACTTTGATTGTCTGTCTGTGATCATAAATTTTGATTAGACTTTTTAAATTAATTACAAAATTAAGCGCTCTAGGCTTATAGATCATTCTCCATAGCTAGTGCAAGTATCTATTTATTACCTATAATGTTTAAAGAGCAGCACTAGGCGGAAGAAGCTTTCAAAGTAAGGGAGAAAAATTTAAAAATACTGCCGCGGTTGTACAGACAAGTAGAAAACTACCTTCTATTTTATTAAGATGTGTATATAGAATTTCTAAATTCTTACTTGGTAGCAACTTATGCTGCAAACTTATCTTGGCCATTCGACTTTGTGAAGGGTTGAGCAGAAAATGGGGTTGGCTAACAGTACTAGACTCTCTCAATTCTTTTAAATATATCCAGGCAGCAGTACCGTGCCATATTACTTGTCATAAGCCAAACTTAGGAAGAAAAAAAACTTAGCTTCTTTAGTCACATGTCATACTAAGGCCAAAGAAATGCATATGTTATGCTGCATGATAGAGATGAAGTCCATGATTCATTGTTTTTAATAGACTAGTGCATGAATGCAAGAGCAACTACAGCGAGTTCAAGCACCATAGGTGTCTTGTTAATTTATTATTTATGTTTAGGTGACTGAAGATTTGGTAGACAAGTTCAACTATGTGGCTGGTATAGTCCCTGTGCTTACTGGATACATTAAACAAGTACATTACTTGTACATGTAATAAAACTATTGCTGTATTTTCATAGCTTCACAGTAAGACAGAAGGCAAGCAGAAGCAGTTGGTGCGAGTGAAGAATGCATTGGTTGATTTAAAAAATTGGATATCAGATCATAAGGAGAAAAACAGGAAAAACAATCAGAAGCTTCTTAGAAATTTGAGGGTAATATAAATGCCTCATTACATGTTGGTAATACATTGTCCTGTTTGCCTACATGTGATTACCTACAGGTACTTGAGCAACTTCATGAAATTTTAAAGTTTGCTGAAGATATTACTTTCAAAGGATTAAGGTATGTGTATGTGTCTCTAGGATCAGTGACAGTCCACTGTAGTTTATCACTAGACTATAATAATGACTTGTGGCACTCTATATTGAGTATACTTGTATAGTGGGTTTATTTCTTTCTAGCAAATTTTCTCAAATTTTATTTATTCTTATAATGCACAAACTCTGCTTCATTAGGCAACCCCTAAATTTGGAACCAAAATAAAATCAGCAAATTTACCAGTAGCATAATAGTATTGGAATTTTGAAAAGAAAAGATAGCAGTATGCAGCAACATTTGTAGTGTAGCCACATGTATAAAAATAGATGTGTTTACTTTATGATTGTATATAATTAGTTAAGCATCAGTACTTGTGTTTCTATAGCCTGCATCTATAGTGGCAGTATGATAGTTTGAACATTTTTTTTTCCTCTTCTAGTCTTCATATTACTATTTGTTGTGAGTGTTACAATGTTATAAAGATATTCCTTGAAGGAGACAGTCGCAAGAATGAAAACTATCTTGCTCGGTTTATAGCGTTCTTTCAGCAACATGTAAAATTTCTTATGATAGTTTTGTTCATTAATGAGCTTTAGGTTCGGAAAAAACTTAATGCTGAAGAAGTTCTTGTTGAATTTGTTCAAAACAATATGTGAGTGCATGATATTATTTATTTGTAATATTCTCATTGATTAATCTTATGCAGCACTATTGTGTCAAAGATGGCAGACACACAGCTGAGTCACATGATTGAACAGTTTTTGAGTACAAAGGTAATTACATATTACTCATTGTGAATGATTATAGCAAACTGTTGCTGTGCATTCTACATAAACTATTACAAAGTATTAAGTATGAATGTATTACATGTATATTGAGTATAACCTTTTTGTTCATGTTATTCTGTCTGCATGCTTTTATACATTATGCTTATAATACTCTTATTTTTATAGGATCCAAAGCTTCTTGATTTTCTAGGGTCTCTTTGTGTTTGTAGCAACAGACCTATTCCATCCACACAAAGTAAAAACTGATCCAACTTAATGCTATACAACTACATGTACATATTCTTTAATTCTTTAGATCGTTTATTGCAAGAATTGGTAAAAAGACATGGAGAAGTTAGTACAAAATTATTTTGGTATTCATATTTCATTTTATAATTAGGAAAAGTTTCTAAAAACTAAACTTGACAGAGCTAGTCAGGAAATATATTGCTATTATTCTTCCTCTCCTGATCAACGTGTTTCACTCAAAGCACTCAGTAAAGATAACAATGAAGTAAGTAATTATTAGTAAAAATCATTTTGCAAATAAATTATTAGCCATTTCAAATCCTTTAATGTATATATACATGTATTTTATGGCTATTAAATTTTATTACGATTACATTGAAGCTCTTTTGTCTTAATTGTGTTACATTTTATGTTTGTTTAAGTATAGTGATACCACTATTATCAAGAGTACATGATTGTCCTGCACATACATGTGTCATAAATTTTTAGAGTTATTTGTTTTTTGTCTCATTCAATAGAAATTTTACCATCTCCTCAAGGGTCAACTATACTTAATGGCAACATTGTGCCAAGTATGTCATCTATCATAAAAACTTTATGTTGTGCATGTACATGTAATAGGGAAACAATAAAAAAGCTATCAGTGCATTGGTCCACACTGAGGAGAATCCTGATGGATACATTAGCTTTGATGAAGCCATCACTTGTGCTAAGGAAACTGACATTGACAGCAAACTAAGAAAATACTATATTAAGCTAATATTGGTTATGTTTGTTGATTGTGGAAATAACAGATCATTCCTTGATAACCTTTGCTACTCATTTGTAAGTCATTTATTGTTTGTTCTTAGAGTTTATGTATATATGTATGTTACACTTGCACATTTACAAATTTACATGCAATTTTACAGGTGTATGATGATCTAGTACAAGTTCCTTATTCAGAGTCTGGTGGTAGCCAAGTTGAGGCATTAACTGGAGCAGAGAATGAACACTTTCCTGCTCTTAAGGACTGGATACTGGACACAATCTCCAATAACACAGTATGTCATTGAGTTTATATTGCAATGGTGAACACGAATAATTGCGCATTTAAACTTTTTAGCTTATTTTTTATTTAATGTGTAATTAATTTTCACTTCAGAATCTCCGTTGTGAATCTAAAGAGAATTCCTTATTAAAACTTGTGTTGGATGTTTTGGGACATTTGGTTCGTTATGGATACTATGATGATATTCAAGATGTGGATGATCTTTTGGGTCCACTCACTGAGTTGCTAAATGGTAAAACAGATTTACCATCAGAAAGAAAAAGTAAAAGTGACAAAATACACGTATGATAAAATCTTAAAATGCTGTTTGTACATGTATGTAGTGTCTGAAGTGGATTTTAAAAGTTCTACTCGTAAGAAGGATATGCCTGAGAATAAAGGTGTTTTTGATGTTAAAGTCAAGTAAGATGCTGTTTTTCATTTAGTTGCTTAAAATTTTAATTGCTATATAATAGGGCACTTGAAGTTATGGAACTGCTTTACCGTTTCAAATTTTATGTCAAACTTCAAGTCAGTACATTATCACTTTAGATTTATACTGTTATTGTTAAAGTGTTAATTATTCTCTCTCTCTTCCACTCTTTGTCTTCTCAGAAATTCATGTATGATTTCCAGCAAACACAGAAGCCTGAAAGGAAGGGTAGAATTGAAGCAATCATTGATGAGTTGACTCCTGTTCTTCTGGATACTTTATCTAAACTTGTTGATACTGATTCTGAAGATGATGATGAGAATGATAAGAAGTTGTACTCTCGTGAGATTATGGGGTAAGTGTAATAACTTGCTCAGACATGCATGCATCATGTACAGTACATGAAGCCTGGTTTGTACTCACTCACCACAAAACACAATGCAAATGAGTTCAAAATTAAAACGTGGCCAATTTTGCATCAACTTCAAAGCATTTTGTGTCCAAAGTCAGATTGCCCATGCGTTTCATCAAATGCAAATCTGGCCCAGTAATTGGTATGCATTGTAATTGCGTTTATTGTCAGAAATTAATTAACAAATATTTGATCACTAATTTTTGCTCTTGTAGTGCTGTTCAGGAACATATTAATTATTTGTGTGATGGTAATGCAAAAGGAGGAGGGTTTGCTCCACCAAATGCTGGTGGTCTTTCACTTGAATTAGTTCTGTTAGATCTTTCTGGGTATGAATGTGATGAATTGGTTACTGGATCTCTTAATCTGTTGACTCATATGTATTTCTTTGAAGAGGAGCTATTTAGTAAAGCACAGCAGGTATTCCTCACAAATTTAGCTATCAGTATACCTGACTTAAAATAATGCTTTCTATTGAAATAAGATTCAATATTCAATTATATCATTTTGTACTTATTTTATTAGACTCAGTTACTGAAGTGTGATAGGTCTTTGAATGACTATAAGACAGTTAAGAATAAAATTCTTCCTGATTTGTGGCAGTTATTACGTGTTGATGCCAGTGGACCCAATCAAGAGAAACTTGTGTCAATACTCAGACAGTTACAATCTTTATGCGTTTTTTCATCATCACATTTACCTAATAAGCAAAATCAGATAATGTTGGATAACTTTGGTAATTAAATTGCATGCATGTACATTGTGCTAATATCATTTTCCTTACTCTATTTATTTACAATTCATAAGTACATGTAATTGTACCTTTGACTCTTATAACTCTATATTAGGCATTGTCTCTGACATTATGAGTTTTTTGTTTGAGAAAAGTGATGGCAGAGTGCTACTGAAGCCTGCAGCCCAAGGTAACATACATGTACATGCTCATGCACACATTGAATTATTTTATGTTTGTATAGGCGACAGTTCTGGTTCTGTTGGTGAAGATCTACATGTATTCAATAATTGTTTCCTTCTCTTGCAATATCTATCTATTGATAATATGAAAGTAAGAACATATAGCAACATGTACAGCACATGTACTTATACATGTACATGTACATGTACAATGTACATTTGAGGTGAAACACTATCAGCGTTTATAAGCATGCAGACTTCAACTATTCTTAAAAAGCTGCTTTATGGCATACATGTATGTTAATGGCATAATGCCCTTATTTGTATGCAGAGATTTGATCTACAAATTCTGATCTAAAGGTTACAGTAATTTTCCTTTAAAATGACTACCCCTGGTTCCAGGAAATGGTGGTTTTACAAGAGGGGCAGTTTTTCATCAGGAGAAAATATAATGTAAAACTTCAGGTCTGTTTAAATGGTCTTAAGCATGAAATTGTTTCTCATCAATGTCTACTGTATAAAAATATACAATCATTTTTATGCTAAATGATCTTTGGTCAGTCCTTTATACCTGGCTTGGCTTCAAGAAGCCTGAACACATCAATGCTTTACTAATTTTTAAGACTTAGAAATTATTTTTATTGTTTTTTTTTACAAATAATGCTGCCTGCAAAAGTGTCATGTATTGTTGTATTAATAGGTAAAGAAGAGAATATTTAGCAGACTTGATGATTTGCTTCAAATGAAGTTACCAAATACAACATTGCCCTTTTTAGCTGATTTAATCACGGAAGTAAGGAATTTGTCATTATTTTACATTAATATCATTCTATTTTGATAATATTTAATCTACAATCTACATGTAAAACTTCAAAATTGTGGAACATTGTACTTGTATCTGTTTATAGTAAATTGACTTCTTTATTACATTATTTTTGTAGGTGTTCACTGGAGGCCCTGAACTAATAATGAAAGTTAAAGATGATCAAATTGAGAAGATATTTGAGATTATAATTTCCTGTAACTATCCCATGGCTCAGGCTCAATTTTTAGTTACATTAGAAGCTATTGTTAAGGTAAAGAGATAAGAACAAGCATAACAGGGTAAAAAGTATTCCTATAATTGATTTCACCACCTTGCAAGTACAACTTGGTCATTATTAAGACTTATAGAGGTTCTCTCTACCTTATAATGCTTCTAGAGAAGTCTTTAGACAGTATCTCTATGCTCTCTTGCTGTTAGAAAGCTCTTAACTTTGTCCCATGTTTAAGCCGCCATTTTGTTTGCCATGACCACACCCACTCACGTAAAGGAGCGTACGTGGGCGGGTGGTTGCTAAGGCTTGTTATTTCTCCAATGCAACATGTATAGAAGAAATGTAAGTGTGGACATACAAATATAGCACGACAGTGAATTCAATTATAGGAACAACCTGGGGGCTTCGCCCCCAGGTCGTTAAAAAGATTAGCTATGTGCATCTATTTATTGTGCATATTCTACACTTTAGATAGAAGAAGTTGATTTACCATTAGGACAGAATCAAGCTACTATTATTAATAATTTTTGTAAATTAAGAGAAACCGTGGCATTTTGTCCTGATTTGTTAGGAAAGAGTTCTACACTTCGAATTGAAATATTGAATTCTGTGAGTTCATGATAATACACAATACACTCCTATTAATAATGGTTTTTGTATGCTCTTTATGTGTATATTGTCCTGTTATTTTTATAGAGTGAAGGGTCTTCTTGTCCTGATCCTAGGCTTCAGCTGTTACTTAATTTGACTGACATGTTGGCAGCTTGTGCTGAAGGAGGGGATTTGTTTATTGAATCTGTTTTTCAGAATATATTTGGAATTGATGACCTAATTGAGTATGTAATTGTAATCATTAGATAAAAATACTAACATGGACATTATCATATTTTATAGGATTATTTCCAGTGAACTTCCTCCAAATTGTAAAAGACCTTTTCTTCGATTCCTTACAATAGTGTATATGAATACAGATGGTGATAACAGCAGTTATCAAAATTCATTGAGTCATGGAGCGTGAGTTAATTCATTATCAGTTAATTAAGTAACACTGTATTTTTTGTACTTTTAGATTAATGTGGGCGTATTTGAGTCATTTGGCTAATCTCCTCGAGAATGTTTCTAAAGTCCTCAGTTGTACTTCATCAAGTGATATAAAAATTTTGAAACAAGACCTTCAGACTAATTCACGACATAAAGTCTCACAGTCTTCCTATCCACCAACCACATCTGCTGCAGAGCCAGTACCAAGTATAGGTATTGCTGAAATACCTAATGTGACTGGTAAGTAATGTACTCTAAAATTTGTAGAAACACATGAGTTTTACATGGTAGTCTACTGGTTTTGAATTACTATTTTTCCATTAAATTTTTGTGGGATGAAGAAATTTTACAGCTTCAATATTTAGCAGAAAAATACCTGCATATATACATATATCAAGAGTAGATGATAGTTAGAGAGAGTGCTGAACTGCACTATGCTAGCTGGAATATGACTGCGTAGAACTTTCTTACGCATCTTTGGGCATTCCTGCATACTTGGTGTGGCTGAGTATGAAAAAATGGCTGCCTAGTTTACTCAACAAGGTTTACTGGCTGTTTTGGAGTCTCTGCTGTAGCTGTACTGCAAAACAGGCTTCAGCAGCATTATAAAGTGTACTAGTATGATGTCTAAAGCTTCTTCAAGTGTTCCCCACTGTTCCTTATGCAAACTTCTAAGCGTGCTTTTAGTAGGTACACCCATGCTTCAGATCTCACGTGACTTAGTTCTACGTGGTCATATTCCAGCTAGCACAGTGCAGTTCGACACTCTCTCTAACTATCATTTACT